ATTACTCCAAAACCCCTGGTGGTGAACCATTGCACGGTCTTGAAGTGGTCAGCTTCTCCAAGATGAGTTTCGACGACAAAGATAGGAGTTCTTGGTCGTCCTCCAAGCCATTGTCTCACTTCATGCCCCAGTGTGGTCACGTTGGCAAAAGCAAAGTCTACCCCTTCTTGTCTTTGCCGTTTGGTCTGAGGTTCGGTTGTTTCCTTGCTCTTGCTGCTCGTTGGGAAGTCACTCCTGATGTTCTCCGGGAGTAGTGACTTTGATGGTACTGCCCATACCTGGACTATCTGTTGTTTGATGTTCTCTTGTAGATGAGGAAGTGCACGAGGAAAGGCTCCATCATCAACAATCCAGTACAGGCCTCTATAGATGTAGATGGCATAGAAATGTCCACTTTTGTGCCCATCACCTGTGTGGCAGAGAAGTCCAACCAGGGAGTACTGCTCCGTTTTGGTGATGTTTCCATCATAGCTGACCGGCAGGTTGAAGATGGATGGCACCTGCAGTGGTTTGTGGTGTTTAGTCCATTCACCTTTGTGATGGGTGTACCGCCCAATTTGAGCTACCCATAGCCCTGCTCCTGCCAACACCTGACCCTCTGCCGTGTTTGCCCATTTGGCAATCAGCGTTTCAAATTCTTGGCCTTCGTTGTCCGGGTAGATGAGGCGCGTAGGGAAAGCTTCTCTGGGATGGACTTCTTGTCGATGGTCCACGTGATGGTACTGTTTGATAACAGCATTCGAGTCCGAGAGCCTCACCAGCTCCTGGAGGAAGTGTGAAGCATCATCTTGAACCATGTCATCGAATTGTTCCCACAGCGGCCTGAGAGTTGCCAGAGTTGTGATGTTGACCACCTCTGACTCCCCCAGTACTGCCATGACTCCAATTCCCCCACAAAAGCTCGGGAAATTGACACTTCCCTGTGCAAAAGTAGACTTCTCTCTGGAAGCCTCTGCCCCTTGGCTAGCCCAAAGGAAGTCACCCCTTTCCTCTGTGCCTGAGCCAAAAACACCATATGCCATGCATTGCTGTTCAACTTTTCCCCCAAATTGAGCAGTGTGCGGAGCATATGGTTGACTGTCCCCTTGAACCTGCTGCCTGTGTGGATGTGAATTGTTACCCACATTTCCTTCTTTTCATGACATTCTCACCAAGCTTGCTTGCGAACTCTTTGGCCTGTTCTGCGGAGACTTGCATCCCTAGACTGGCCATGACCGTCAGCAGATTTTCCGCTGTGATCTCATCCTGCATTGTTTCATCCGCTGCTTTCTCCTTGTCTTTCTCAAGCTGCTGGTTGTAGAGATGCGTTGCCTCTTGCAATTCTTTCTGTGCAGCTTCTATCTTTCCTTGGATCTCCTTCAAATCCTGCAGGAGTTGAGTGTATTGCTGCTTCACCGTGTCCGCTTTGCCCTGGATGGAGGTCTTCTTTTCCGACACTTGCTTTAGTGTTCCAACTGCCTGTTTGACCTTCTGGTTCAAAGGAGGTTCACTTTTCTGTGGTTCAACAATCTTTTCAACTGCCTCCTTCAAGTCTGTTGGCAAGCTCTGTAGATGTTCTTTGATCAGGGTTGGGAGATCCGGTGGCGGAGCAGGTTCCGCTGCCTTTATCCCCAATGCTTCGAGCTGGCTTCTCAGCGCTTCTGGGATGCTGGTCCAATGCTCTTGAAGCTTTTTCTCGATGCCTTTGACCTTGCCCTTGTTCTTCTTCGGTGGCTTGCCTCCATAGAGCCCCGGAGGTGGTGAGACCAGCACCTCCTTCAAGCTTCGTTTGGGCCACTGCTCTGCTTTGTTGGTGAAGTTCCACGATGCCCATTGTACTCGACGTTTGCGGAGATCAGGTAGTTGTCGCTGTTTCCACTGTTGGCCACATAGGTTGCACTTCATGTTGGGCTTCTGCAGGAGTCTATCTTCCCACAACCAACTTTGGCCACAGCCTTGACAAACTAAGTAGTTCCGCCTCATCTTCAATGAGCTGCCGCGGAGGCCACCCTTCTCAACTTCAAGGACCTCTTCGTTGAACAAGCGTAGTGCCAGCCGGGGACTGGTGACCTGAGGCCTTGAGCCGAGATCTTGAGCCATATACATATATATATATACATATAAAAATACATATTAATATATATATATATACATTCACAAATACTTTATATACATAATATATATATATATACCTTCACAATAGGAAGTGAGCCGAAACCTTTACAACTGCGCCTCTCCGCCAGTCTCCTCGGCCAGTGCCTGGAAGCACTCAACCTTGGTCAAGTATATCTATGACCTAAAGAGTCCGGCTGCACCCAGCCAGCTTGCCCTTTTGAGACCCCAGGGCCCCAACGCACTCGTTCAAGAACACCGGGTGATACCTTGGTGTCAGGACCACTGAATCCGTGCACAACAAATCACAAGTAGTAATCCTGGATCACATATCTTTCAGTCAAACTGAGGCAACCAACGCGGTCATCTTGATACGAATACGGTCCTTAAATTTGTTGATATTTGTTGTCTTACTCCGAGGTGATTTGAGACAAGCAAACAGCAGAAAACTAATATGTGGCTCATTCAATCTCCAAACTGAAAACCAGGTGTTTGGTTGTAGATGATTGTAGTATGTCTGTATGTTCATGTTCATTTGATTCTCCTTGATTCCAAGGCCTACGGGCCTACTTTTGATTTCTTCCGCTCTTGGTGTACAAATTGCTCAAACTCTCACAGACTCCTCTGGTGGTCGGCGTGCACTGGGCGGAATCTTTTCAGGGGCCCACCTGCGTTCAGCTTGCATTTTGAGTGGTGCATGCCAATGCATCATACAAACGCGGGGTGATTCAGGGTGTCTGCACCAAACCAAACCCTGACAGTTTCTCAAACGCTTTCGATCAAGGCAAATGAATCACCCGGGTGGCTGCGTTGGTGCTTTGCCCAGCAGCCACTCATTTGCGTCTTTCACCTGAGACAACGATGCAAATCCGAAAACACATGACCTTCACAATGGCACCAGCAACAATACGGCCGACGATATGGGCCTCATCCTTTCAAGTCGTACTCTCCAGCCAATTGCCTTTCAAAATAAAAATGGCTTTCCATGCTTTTCCATGTGCACAGTTCAGGCATTCGTTCGTGCACAGTTCGTTCGTGCACAGTTCAAGCGTTCGTGCCTTAGCAAGCTCACCAACTCCACCCACGGCTGCTTCTCCTTCATTCTGCTTCAAAGCTGCCGATGTGTCAAGCAACGTGCATGTCTGATTGGTCATTCTTTCTGCAAGTCTGGACATGTGTGGACACTGGATAATTTGTCTTCCTGGCCAGTGTCAATCCCCAATCTTCTCGACTCACTTGTGACACCACATGTCTCCTCCGCACGTTTCGCGTCGAGAACTTGCCGTGAGTCTATGAAGAGCCAGTAGAGGAGGAGGCCTCGAAATGACAATAGTGTGGCAGTGTGGCAAGGCACAGTAAGATCATGTGAGCATGTCACGATCCAATGTTCTTCTAATCAATGCTCTTACAAGAGGGACTAATATATCTGCGCACTGCGTCCTTTCGCATACTCAGCCCCATGCGCAGTTGCAAAGCGCCTTGCTCGCTTTTGCTGTGTACAAGGAACCTGTCCAGGCAATTGTTACAGGGCCATGTGGGTCGCCAGCAATACAGAGCCAGGGCGTCTTGCAGCATCAGCCCAGGTGACTGAAAGGGGTGCAATTACAGAAAGAGCGAAATCATGTCGTGTCTAATTCGACTGGAGCCTTCTGCAGCGCTGCTGAAAGCTCTCTAGCAAGTCCCATGCCTCACAATCACAAGGCACATGACATTTGAAGCAACTCTCAAAAATGCCGAGGCTAGGCTTGCACAAATTGCTAGCGACAATCTAGATTCTCAAGCCCCTCCTCGACGCTTTCTTCAGAAACGCCCCAGAGTCCAGGAACAACGCCATCATGTCCAACCAAATGTTCAAGCCTCGGCAGTCACAACTTTCTCTTTTCATAGGGAACACAAATCTGTCGCGTCAACCTTTACAGGAAAGGAAGAACCAATAGCATCAGGTACTGCCATAGTTGAGTAACATGATCCTATCAGTTTTGTCATGTTTTGTTTTCTTTTCATGTCTATTCACCACAGATTGGCTTGAACACTTGGGCCCTGGCATCTGGGGCAGCCACTTATCCTTGGCACCGGGAGTGCGTCGAAACCCCCTGCATGCCTCTCAGTGAAGGTTTCCAACCATGCATCACTTGACGTGTTCATCCACAATGGTTTTCAGCGGCTCAAATCAGAAACTGAACAAAAAAAGTATATTCGCGTGCAAAACTAATACTGTACATGATGGGCGATTCTTTGATCTCCTCACATGGGCTTTCACACTTGAGCAATTTGCAAATACTGCCGTCAAACCGAAGCGGTGAACGCATGGAGCCCACAGCTGTGCATTAAAGGACACTGTGGAGGGTTGGAAAGGATTGGAAAATCTCGTTCTTCAACAATGATGTCTGTTTCGACTTAACTGTATGTTTGTTCTTGTCTTTCTTGTTTCTCTTTTTAGCCCGCTCTTCCTTAACTAAGTAGACGGCTACTTAATTAAGTAAGGGCTATGCTATGAGCAAGCTTACTAGTAGCTGGACGAAGGATAGCTCACGCTGGCACTATTCCTTTGGCTATATAACTTTGGTTCCTAGATTGTTTGGGAAACTTAACTTCTTCAACACCTCTGCAGCCAAGCTGCAGCTGCCTCGGCCTGGCCCAAGTTCCGAGGTGGAGTATTGTGCAGTAGAATGTACGGCCTATTCGTCTTGTTTTGATTCATAGCACAAAAGGCTGCCACCCCCAAATCGAAGGAATTGAATAGCCCACAACAGCCCGTGTCCATTCTGCCACTCCTTTCCCGACACGTAGATGTTTTTCAAATGTGGGCTGATCTGCCGCAAGACACGATGCCTGAGCTTGTCACGTTGGTGGTGACAAAGCTTCTCGATCAATTTCTGCTCCAAACAAACAACAAGAGTTTGCGCAGCTCACAGCTGCCTCTTTCGCCAACATAAGCAAGTCTCAAAACAACAAATGATACGCATCGAAAGCATCTGAGGGTAATACAAGTTCCCAACCTCTTGAGTCACACTTTTCACCCTCTTCTGCAGCTCCTGTCCACCCACAAGCCTACACTTTCACTACGAGTAGTACCTCTTCGGGGCTTTCCAGACTTCGATGTGGGAATATATGAGAATATGACGAGAAAAGTCACCCTTTTGGAGTTCTTCAAGTTCTTCAAATTTCTTCAGTATATACAGCTCAAAGAGCAAACGTGCTTGCAAAGAATGATTCCCTCAAGTTGCACCTCTAGGCGTGCACGACTGCGTCGGGCACCCCCAGAAGCCATCAGGCAGACCACTGCTGCGGAGCCAAGCAATGGCATGACCTAGCTGTTTTGTTCAGATTCGGTTGCTTGGTGAGAAAGGTTACAGTAACAGGTGTGCGATACCCTGAAAGTGCAGGAGGAGTGTGACACCTGCTAAACCAAACAAAGGAATGGAAACAGATTTATGGAAATAAAACAAAGTCAGATAAGGCTGATGTTTGAAAGTAGTGAATTAAGCAAGAGCTGCCCAGACACTCTCGACATGGGCAAGGCCCGGCAAGGCCCTTCTATGGCAGGCCATCCCCAAGGAAGATAAAGAAGTTTCCGCCGGGAGGAACTCGCAGACCAAAGAGCGGAGGAACTGCAGCTTTTTGGGCGCTGCGACAGTTGAGAGTTGAACAAACTAGCTGTGACAGCGTAGAGCATGATTGTCTGCAGGTGTGAGTCTCAAATCACAATAAGCAGCAGCCCATCATAACTTACGCAATGGCAAAGAAATGGAATGAAGCTTCAGGCGTTTCTTTTAAAAAGGAACTTCATCCTATTGTGTCTGCAAGAATGACCTGCGAGAAGAATGGTGACCCTGGAACTCCTAGGGTAAAAGCCGTAGAATTTGCAAATCTCTGCCTGGGCCTCTGTTCTCTCTCTTGGGTAGCCGAGCTGGCTTCGCCTTGTGAGCCCGAAGAATTGCCTTCAATGCGAAGCCACCAACAGATCGGTTGCAGCTTGGGAGCTTTCACACCTGACAAGCGACTTATAGTCCCACCTTCTCAGCTGCATGCAGTTCCCTGGCTAATTCTTCTAATCGAAAGCTGCTGCCTCAGGAGGAATTGCATTACAAAAAAAAACATGGCATCAGCAGCAAGCAACTGATATCGCAATGCCTCACGCAAGCCTTTAGGATCTGGACTGACACAACAAAATGCACAAACAAAAGGCTCGCACCGGCATCTTCGACAGTGCTAGCACGATGACCTCCAGGCTAAGGTTTCCAGCTGAAAACCGTGCTAGACAAAATACCCTGTGCTTCAAATGTATGCAAGCTACTAGTAACAAAGGGCATCGCTACTAAGGAGCAAGGACGCTACTAGTAGCTCCTGGCCTTCCTACTATATAGTAACAAGAAGCTGCTGGAACACCAAGACCTGGGTGCCAGGCAGTGCACTCGCAGCAAAGCCTCGCAAGTGAGCTCCAGCAGCCGTTGAGCTGTAAAACCATCGCCCATCCTCAAGAGCAGAAAAGGCCCGGGAAGGCGGCTGAAAAAAAGAAAGAAACATCCTGACATGTGGTATAATACGTTATACTATTTATAAATCTATTTTTGGTATTATTTGAACAACGTGCTCAGCATAGCTCACCTCATCTTGTTTGGACTCTAGTGCGGTCTTGAAAGTCAACTGGTCTTAATGTTCAATACGGTCGGTCCAATAGTCCTGGCATGCAACGCATCGTAATGACTTGAATATCCCCGCTCACACCAGCTAATTTATGATAGCAAAACAAACCGTCGGCGACAGATTCCATGTGAAGAGTTGCAGACGTTGACATTGTCAAAGGTTGAAGATTAGTCCTTTGACTTGAAGCTTGCTGAGGCGCACACAGCTCTGCCTGAAGCTTGTGCACACTTTCCCTCAGTGTTTCAGATGTTTCAGGTCGTACGAGTAATTAGTGGAGCGACTGCCTTCCTTGCAAAACACAAGGCCAATTGCGGCAAGACATGTAAACTCCCCCCCAAAACTTAGTCCAGTCAGAACCCGTCAATTGTACCAGTGCGACGGGCCGCGATACAATTTAAACCACTTAGAATGTCCTGACCGTCACCAGTTCGACACTCTTGAAACTGAAAAGCATAATCTTGTCCCTGAAGGTCTGCTGTTGGCTGCCATGTTGCAGTGTTGCCGAATGTGCCGCTTTCCGTTTCTTGGCCGGCCGGCCTAGTTTGAGTCAACAATGGAGCAACTCGTAAACAGTTTGACCAACAACTGATACAGAATCAAGCCGACGCTGTCATGCCTTCAGATGGCACTGCAGCGTTCGCTGCCAGTGCTTCTGACCAAGCCTTTGCACAGGTGTTTGATAACCAAAGAAGCAACACTTTCTGACCATGCTATGTCGAAAATGAGTCATTATTGAAAACTGGCGCTGGGATTCAGCCTTCATTGCCTCTTGCTGGGCTGGGGCAAGCTGCAACCTTGCAATGTTTGGCTCAGAATGTTTTGCACACAATCTCACGCACTTGAAACAAGAACGTCGCTTGGAGTCACACTGCTCTTCTCCAAGCGCAGCCACGCACCAACTCGTATGGAGGTCCCTGCATCGACTGCCATACTGATTTTGTCCCTTGGTTACCCACCAAGCTGAACAGTTCACCTTGTTATTCCCATCCAAGAGAATGTCTACCCGGATCGGACTTCGTGCAGCCAGTTCGTGATGTCAGCAAGCAAAACGACAAGTTGTCCTTCAATGGATTTACAAGAGGTACTGTAGTCCGCACAGGCCAAGGCGAGCAAGTTTGTACAGTAAATCTCATGTGTGCCTTGTAGGAAGGTCGAGAAGCAGTGGCCAAAGTGTTGCAGGACTTACTGCTTGAGCGGCAATCTTGCAACTAAGTGGGGCAGGCTTTACGAAGCTGGGAAAGCAGAAACCTTTAGCCATCTCACAGTACACCCATTGGCGCATTTTCCTATGCCTGTCAAGGTGTGTGGTTGAGCTTACTCTCCATAGCGATGATCTCTGTTCTTGGAGAGCCGCTGACTAGATAGCTAGGTTCCAATTGTGGGCAAGTGTGGCATCAACGTAGGTGCTATCGCATGTGTTGCCTTAAATGCGCCGGTGTTAATGTGACGAATGCCCATTAGACTTGAATGTGATCTCAATTTCATTTTGCTTTCTTTCAATTGCGGATAGACGGCATTGCATCGCCGCACCGCGATATGATTTCTCGAAACTCCCCGGCCGAAGGGCCCTTGAGTCACACGCGGCGACGACCTTCGCCACCCGATTGGCATCGAAGAAAGGACGCATCGCGGCCTTCGAGTTCTTTTTCTTTGGTTGCTTGGAACTTCGTGAGTTCAAGTACTTCGAGATTGGCAGCGGAGCCCAAGACGATCCTCCCGGAATTTAACCAGGGTGAACTTTTTGTTTGAAGACGCCTAGAGGGTAATCCTGGCCGGTGAGAATTGGCTCATCTTAAAGATCACGTTCAGTAAGGCAGTCACAAATGAGTGGTCAGCAAAGAAGACAGCGAGACAGACAAGAAGGTGAACAAGCAGTTGGTGTTCCCATACCTCGTTCTCCTCCACGTGCAGCAAATGGAGCTAGCCCAGGAACTACTTTTTCTAGTTCCACCAACTATCATGGATTGGACAGTGGCTTGGCAAAGGCCGCACCATCGGCCGAGGGGCTATCGCAAAGTGGCTATCGCAGCAGGTACTCTTTTGGTCATCAGCCTCCTCAAGGACACTGTTTGGGACGCTGCAGAGCTAATAGATTTGAAAGAAATCACAAGTGGTACAAACCCTTTTGCACCTTTGTTCGCCATGATGGACCAGCTCTTCCAATATGAAGAACAAATCGAGGTTCCATACCGCTGTGAAGAATTCTTTCAAAGTTTCAATCGTCAGAAGGGAGAAGAAATGCAGGCATATCTCATTCGCCACCGCACTGCTTTGAAGAAACTTCGAGAGGTCAAGATTGACATTCCTCCACTCCTTGCTGGATGGCATTTGTTGACCCGAAGTGGAACTCCAAAATGGACACACGTGCAAGTGAAAGCATTGCGCAAGGGCGAGCTTGACTATGAAGAGGTCCAACGAGCTTTGCTTCGAATGTTTGGTGGAGACCACAAACCAAACACCAAGGACATTGGACCTGTTGCCAAGTCATCCAAGGACGAGTTCTTCTATGAGGAGGACTTTGACGAGGAGTTCTACTACGAAGGAGCAGAAGAAGATGAGTGGCATGAAATCTACTATGAAGGGTATGTTGAAGATGAAGAAGAAATCCCCGAAGAGCTTGAAGAAGCATATGAAAACATGGATGAAGCCTACATCTCCTACTTGGAGTCAAGGAAAAGGATGAAGGAACTTGCCTTGGCTCGTGGCTTCTATCCCGTCGCAGCCATCGGTCCCGACTTCGATCATGGCAAAGGCGGCAAAAGTGAAAGAAAGGGCAGTTCGAAAGGCAAAGGAAAGAGCAAAGGAAAAGGCAAAGGCAAAGGAAAAAGCATGTTTCCTCGACGCCCAACGCATGGTCTTCGAAAGCCTCCATCATCGTCGACTACTACCTCCTCCGGGTTGAGGTCAACTTTGACCGGTTCGGGTTTTTTTGGGGCCCGAGGTTCAAACGATATCGAGTGCAAGCACAAGGTGTTAAAGAAGTTGGAGGTGAAGAAGTGACCATGGTGGAGGAACAAGCTGAAGAATGCGTTCAAGAGGACATCTTCTTTGCCACCCTTGCTCCTGGGCATGCAATCGTGGATTCAGGGGCAACAAGAACATTGGTTGGTGAAGGAGTGTGGAAAGAATGGGTTGAGCACTATGATGGAGAAATGCTTGAATCCAACTACGAAGTCTCCTTCAACGCCTTGGTGAAAGGTCAGAAGCTGCCCATCACTGTTTCAGTGGTACCTGGGCACGCTCCCTTCCTGTTGGCACGACCTATGCTGGAACAATGGGGGGTGAAACAAGACTACGCTACGCCAGTGGCAACATGAAGGTGGCTCAATCCGAAGGGTTTCAACCAAGTCGTGGACAAAAGGGTCACTATGTCTTGAACTTGTTGGAATATCATGAAGATGAACAAGAGATGACCTACATCTTGGAAGAAGAGGTTATGATCACAACAAGTCCGCTGGAAATTGAACCACCCAGTGAGACGGACCCGTCAGACATTGCAGAGCAGATCCTCATGGAGTCGGAAGAAAATGAAGTTGAAAAGATTTCTCAACAAGTTTTGCAGCGCCTTCAACAAGAGCGAAAACTGATCTTCTATGAGGTCTATGTGGATGAGGGCAACCTGGCTACAGAACTGTTGAGACGATTTCCAGATTGTGAAGTTGCTACTTTTAGCCTACCTCACTGGGACTTCGAAAAAGAAAATGACCGAAAAGCATTTCTCAAATTGGTGAGAGAATAAAAGCCTCACTTCATCTGGTGTGCACCACCTTGTACGAAATGGTCACCAATGCAAAGGCTCAACATGATCAAGGTCGAACAATTGGCCTACATCCTGGGATTGCAAAAACAAGAAGAGAAGCAACAATTGAAACTGGTTTTGGATATCACCGACATCTGCAACTGGGAGATCAATGCCGGCATGGCCATGGAGCATCCTCATTTGGCCATGTCTTGGAAGACGAAAACCTTGGAGTCAATGGATGGTTATGATGCAATCTGCAACCGACGCAGGACCGGCTTGCGCTACAATGATCAAATGGGAAACTACGTCGGAAAGGTCAAGAAACCTACAAAGATTCGCACAAACAGCCAAATGGTCTTTGAAGCACTTGACCTTCCATGTGAATGTCTTCCTGGAGAGCATGTTGCTATGGACGGAAAATCCGAAAGCCTGAAGAAAATGCAAAACTACGAGAGGCTTCGTGAAACGAGCAGCAAATGCCATCTATCAAGAGATGGAAGAACGATGGCGACAAAGAGAGATAGCCAAGATCTATATGGTCGAAGAGCAGGATGAGAAAGACAAAGTGAAGAAAGCCTCCAACATCACTGAGGAAGAAGAGAAGTTGATGAAGACCCATAGCAAGCAGAATCTCCAGGTCATCAGCAAACTGCACAAGCAACTTGGACGTCCAGGTGTAGATCGGATGATCAAAACGCTCAAAGATGCAGGTATGGATGAATCCCTGATCCGATGTGCCAAGGACTATAAATGTGAAGTATGTGAACAACAGGCACAACGGAAATTGGAGAAACCAGCTTCATTACCTCAGGCCAGTCACTTCAATGAATGCTTGGAAGCCGATGTTTTTCACATCCGCTGGAACGGAGAAAACGCAAGGTTCTGGCCATCCTCGACATCTACTCCAAGTACGAGATCAATGCAGTGTTGGAGAGAGAAACTGAAGAAGCCGAGTTGAAGATACTTCGTGAACAATGGCTTCAAACTTTTGGTCCTCCAGAGCGCTTCAGGACAGATCAGTCTGGTGCACATATGAGTCAGAAGTATTTGGGCTTCTTCGATCAGAACAACATCAAGCTGATCCTCGTGCCCAAAGAAGCTCACTACAGGGATCAGTGGAACGTCTCCACGCTGTGAGAAGAATGCAGCTGCTCAAGATGCAACAAGATGAACCGAATGTGCTCCTTGAAGAAGCTGTTCCAGTTGCTTGCCATCAACGAAACCGTCTTCGTTCAGTGCATGACAGCTCACCACATCAAATCATTTTTGGACACAATCCTCAATCGAGCGGTCTTTGTGATGAACCACATTTGGAAAAGCCGCTCGATGATACGGAACAGCATCAAAAAGACCAAGCACTTCGGTATTCAGCAGCCAAGGCATTTTATGAAGCAAACAACAACCAATTGCTGAAGCGTGCACTTCTTGCCAGGCCCAGGTCTGAACATGTGACCGCCAGTCTTGGCGATTGGATCTACTACTGGAGACAGGGGGAAACCAAACTTGACCCCACTCGCTGGCGTGGACCTGCATTGGTTTGCGCCATAGAGCCTCGCATCCGCGCTTCTGTTTACTGGGTCGCTCATGGTTCCAATTTGGTGCGTGTTGCAAGTGAGCATATTCGTGCAGAAGTGGCTCGAGAATGTGTTCATCGCTTAGAAACACAACCTGCCACCGCTGTTTCCACCAGTTTGGTCCATAGAGTTAGACAAGCTCTGACCCCTGCGCAGGGTCCTGTGCGATTTCTTGATCTTGCAGGGGATCCCACCTTTTCGAACGCAAAGGCTGCAACTTCTGTCTCTCCTTTGGTCTCCGTGAATGATGAATACAATGAACCCGCACAAGAGAGTCCAGAAGTTCCAATGTCAGAGCCTAAAGACGAAGAAGAAGTGACAATAGAACCTCAGCACACTGCGGCAGCAGCAGAACACAAGACAGCAGCAGCCAGCACGGCAGCAGCAGAAGCTGAAGCAGTTGAAGTAGAAATGAAAGAAGACCAAGATCCAAGTGGTCGAGGCAGATCGAGAAGCCCTCCACCTCATGACTCTCGGCGCAAAGAATTGAAAACCTGTATGAGTCCTACAACAAGGCACGACCTCCCACCTGTTTCTCGTGATGATCATCAGCTGAAAAGTCCATATGACATGCTGTATGGTGAGGAAGTTGATTGGCTTGATGAAAATTTCCTGGCTACTTCCTTCAGTGAAAAGAACCTCACCAAAGAACAGAAAGAGGAGTTCGCCGAAGCTCGCAACAAGGCTTTGGATGTCTGGTTTGAGAATCAAGCATGGCGACCTGTGGACGCCTCCGAAGCCCAACCAGGAGAAGCAGTACCAGCAAGATTTTTGCAGCGCTGGAAGCCAACGAAAGAAGGGCAGAAAGCAAACGCCCGAATCATCATACAGGGATTCAAACATCGTGACGCGCTCGAAGACACTGTCGATAAGGAAGCTCCCACTTCGTCCATGGTTGGTCGCAGCTCCATTTATCTTTTTGCCGTGGTTCGTCAGCTCAAGCTGTGGAGCGCTGATGTGCAGACTGCTTAACATCGAACAAGAAGCCCGAGTGTTTATACAGCCCTCAGCCGAGATTCGACGTCTCCTGGAGAGAAAGATTGGATTGAAACCATGGCAAATCACAGTGGAATGCAACAGCCCATCGGTGCTTGACTGAGGAACTTGGCATGATCCCACACCCTTTGGATCGTTGTGTATACCTCAGTATTCGAGCTGCATATGAATCTGACCCAGCTTTCGAAGTGTTGCAGTGGAATGGTGTTCCTAGCATTGTTGACAGCATTTTTGGACTCCACGTGGACGACTTCATTGGTGCTGGTGAGGGTTTTTGCAGTGAACATGATTTGAAAAAGGAATGTCCCAATGAAGAGTGTTTCCTCAACCGCATCCTGCTTTTAGCTCAGCGTTTTCGTTTTGGTGCATGGGATTTTGGAAATGGCTCAAAGATCATCTTTTGTGGAGCTGAACTGCAACAGTCGTTGGACTACTCCACCATTTCGGTGAGTCTGGCGAATTATGTGCAAAAGGTGAAACCAATTTCATTGGACAAATCCAGGAAAACAATGACGGATTCTCCATGTGATGCACGTGAGCACCGTCAATTCTGCGCCCTCATTGGCGCTCTAGCATGGCCAGCGCATCAAAGCATCCCAGAGTTGTGTGCAAGCGTGAGCATTTTGCAAGCATCAGCAAGCAATCCATGTGTGGGTGATTTGAACCAAGCAAACGAGTTGCTCCGTTTTGCAAAAGAGGTTTCCAAGGATCACCAACTGTACGTGCGTGGTTCACGTGCTTTTTCTGAGTTGTGCATTGGCGCATACACCGATGCTGCTTGGGCCGTGAGGCCCGATGGATCAAGCCAAGGTGGACTTTTGGTGTTCATTTGTTCACATCAAGAGCTGGAATCTGGCAGCGTGATGCCGCTTAATGTGTTTTATTGGAAGTCGCACAAGTTGGCCCGCATTTGCAGGTCAAGTCTCTCCTCCGAGGCACAGGCAGCCGCCATAGCGGTCGACGAACTTGAATGGTGCAAAATCTTTGTTTCCGTCACGATCGACCCCACATTGCCGATCGAGAGTCCGAAAGCATTGCAAAAGCTCGGAACGTCTCCATGGTGACGGACGCCAAATCCTTGTTCGATGCCGCCAAGTCCTTGTCCCCAAGCATGAAGTTGAGTGAGAAAAGAACTGCGATCGAAGTGGCAATAGTGCGAGATCGCATGAATGCTTTGTTGGGAAAATGGATGTGGGTGAACTCACATCAACAGATCTCGGACGGCTTGACAAAGCCGGCATCACGAGATTCCATGGCGTACATCATGAAGCGTGGCACCCATCAACTCAAGTTCAACCCCGACTTCACAGCCTCCAAGAAAGTGTCCTCGGAAGCCAAGAAAGAAGAAAGGGAAATCCACGAAGCTTTTTCAGAAATGGAGGAACAACAAGTCTTTGCAGTAGAAGAGTGGCAAAAGAATGAACAAGGTCTTTGTTTGCTTCCCAGCTGTTGCAAGCCTCGAAACGAAAGTGATCCTCGCAACAAATACTGCAGCAGAAGGCCCACCGCAGCTTGCAGGGTCATCAAGACGAATGGAAGAAGGCAGCCTTGTTTTCCGCAGCCATTTTGATGGCCAGTGAAGCGCCTCTTGCTGAAGGAGCTTTGGAATCTGGTGAAGCTGAAGGATGGAGTTCAGCAGTCCTCATGTCCTTTTTGGTCATCATGATCTTCGCATGGATTGGCCTTGAAAATGTGTTTCTGCGCTTTGGCATTGAAACCATCTTTTACAAGGCCTACTGCTTTGCAAATAACAAGGTGACGAACCTGTTCAGAGAGAAGGTGAATGAAAATGAGCAGGTCGTTGAGAATGAACAAGTTTTGGCGAATGACCCAGTGATTGAGAACCCGCTCAATCCTCCGAGCCATGTCGTTTCCGCTGCTGTCCAGGCCGATGAAGTGATCTTGAACGCGCTCACTCTAGGACGTCGACCTGGAATAGACTCAGGAAGCAAGACCACTAACACTGAGTCGGATCTTCCTGATGAGGAATGGCATCGCTGGAGCCGCATGAAGGTGATTGTCCAAAATGAAGCTGGACAAGCACAGTATCGTCGACTCCTTTGGAAACTTGGAAACTGGAGAACGATGATAGCAGCTTGGATTCGCAAACCCGCTGTGTTCTTCAGTCGGAGAGCTACACCACACAGCGCTGGCGGAAATTCAGCGAATTGCTTCGAGCTCAGGACACCACTCAGTTTTCTGACGAGCAAGTTTGTCAGTGGCATCGTATGTGGAATGAGAACTTGGTGTTTTTGGCTGACGTGAACCGTCGCATAGTCAGTCAAAGAAATCGGATCATTGCTTTGGAAAGAAGTGATCGAGTCCGTGAACAAATCTACCACGGAGAGTTGGCTGACCGAATTTGCCAAACTCCCATGACGTATGTTGCTGGCACTCGACCAAGACGCCTAGCTGAAAGAGAACATGGTGCCTGGTACCATGTGAGTGATTTAGATGTCCTTCGTTGAAAGATGACTTAGAGCCCGCTTTTGAAAGTTTTCCATACCATGTTGGCACCCCTTGAGAAACAACTTGGGCGTGTTAATGTGACGAATGCCCATTAGACTTGAATGCGATCTCAATTTCGTTTTGCTTTCTTTCAATTGCGGATAGACGGCATTGCATCGCCGCACCGCGATATGATTTCTCGAAACTCCCCGGCCGAAGGGCCCTTGAGTCACACGCGGCGACGACCTTCGCCACCTGATTGGCATCGAAGAAAGGACGCATCGCGGCCTTCGAGTTCTTTTTCTTTGGTTGCTTGCTTGGAACTTCGTGAGTTCAAGTACTTCGAGAGCCGCTGACTAGATAGCTAGGTTCCAATTGTGGGCAAGTGTGGCATCAACGTAGGTGCTATCGCCTGTGTTGCCTTAAATGCGCCGGGATATTCATGGAAGAGCCCGTCAAAGGTTCGGTTGCTCAGTCAGCTCTAAACGTATAGTTCTTTACTGCTTTAGTTTCATTCAAGCAACCTCTTCTGTATCTGTTGACCAGTGTTTTGTAAAATATCTACATATACATATCGCATGTCTACGTTGTGAAGTTGCGGCTATACCAAGTACATAAGTTATGTCTAGGTTGCAAAACAGCGTTGTTGAAAACTTCTCAGCGAAAGGCTACATAAGTGGCAATCAATGGGGGCATAGATTGAAAAACAACAATCATGCTGAATAAGAGCTATCTTTGATATGTGTTTGCCCAACCGAAGCCAACTTCAACATCTGCTTCGACCGAACAAGGACCTTTCAAAGTGACATGAAAACGGGTCATCTGCCTCAGGTTCATTCGCTGTCGAAGCTCCTCTATGGCCTTGCGAATTGAAGCAATCCCAGGCTGAACATACCATACCACAGGATCATACAATCAAATCTGCATGTTCTCGTCATGTGGTGCTTTGTCTGTTTCCATTCCAATCTTTTTCCGTGTCAAATATATAAACAATTCCAAGCTCGCCACTGTAGTTTTGCTCTTGCTCAGTCTAGGCCAGGGCAGCAATGCTTTCAACTCCACCGTAACGGGTCAGTGGAACGCAGGGGCTTGATCATCATTACACAACACTTCAATCAGTTCATGCAATATTGTCCTTTCATGAAAGAGGGGTGTCTTTTAGGGCGCCGCTCCACAACTTCGTTCTTGGCCTTGCGTGATTTGGTATGTCAAAAACCTAAAGAAGCAACAGGAGGCAATGAAATGCTCAAACATGGGGTCTCCAAATTTCACGCCTTGAACAGTTCAGTCTCCATATCGTTGATGCGTTGCTGGAGTTCTGCATGGGACGATTGACCTCTCGCAAAAAGACGTGGTCTCCTTGACGAAAAACAGTTTTCTGGTCAATCCGAGATCTTGGCTTTGCTCCAAAGCTGCTTGTGCCTGCAGCGGAACCAGTGCTGTGGTCACATCCTTGTGTCAAAAATCAAAGAACCAGATAGCCGCACATGTCACATGTCAAGTTACGGATGGTAGAGGATGACGAGGCGAGAGGGATCGGATGGTTTAATGCGAAAGGATGTGTGCGTGTGACGTGCACCAGCAGCATCAATCTCGCACAGCATCTGCGCGATTTTGATTGATATCAAATTTTAACCTTTGGGACTTGTGTGAGCTGAGTTGGTGTGAGTTGAGTTGAAAATGAGTTGGTGAGTCAGTTGGTGTGAGTCAGTTGGGGTGGGTACTGTAAGTTGGTGTGAGTGAAATGGTGTGAGCGAGTTGATGTGAAGAAGTTGGTGTGAGTGAGTTGGTGTGTGTAAGTTCGTGTGTTTGTCTGTGTGAGGTGGTGCGACTGGGTTCATGTGAGCGAGTTGGGTTGAGTACGTTGCCGAGCGGGAGCGACAGGAAGAGGACAGCGGGAGGAACTCAGACTACCCCCAAAAAAGGAAGCATCCCATACTGGCATGTTGGGGTCTTACAAGTAATACAAAATTAGACAGATAGTTCCTAAGCAAATGCACATGCATGGTTTTCCGCGCCCCGAGCTCCACAAACGCAGGCCACAAACTGCATGGCGCCACTGTTCGCCAGAGACACCCCGCGTTTACGCACGCGTGTTTCTGGTTGCGCGAAGCCGCATGACAATGACATCGCTAGAGAGCAGCAGAAAGATGCAGAAAGCAGCGGCGGCGACGAAAAGGAACCAGCAGTGGAGGGGCGGCAACCAAGGGGAACCAGCGCCGATCAGCAGCAACAGCAGACCGTAAAGAGGCAGAAAACAGCCGACCCGGAGCAAAAGCAGACCTATATACACACACACCAAACAGTGGAGGAGCCGTGGCGACCGAGGCGAGCGCGCCGCCCTCGGTCTCTAAGAAAGCAGCAGAGGGCAGCGGGACAGGGGCGGCAACCGCCGCAACGTCAGGACGTCTAGTCAGCAACATCAGCGGCAGCAACGTCAGCGGAAGCAGAACCCTTATTAGCAGCAACAGCAGACCCTGTATCGAGTATGTTGGTGTGAGTAAGTTGGTGCGAAGGGTGGGTCTGAGTTAATTGGCGCCAGGAAGTTGGGATGAGTAAGTTGGTGCCACTGTAATAAGTTGGTGTAAGTCGGTGTGGGTGAGTGTTGATGTGAGTACGCGCGTGTAAGTGGATTTGAGTAAGTTGAGTTGTTGATGTGAGTGAGGTAGGCGCTGGGAGCAGTGGGCGGCGAAGGAGAAAGGAAGACAGGGGAAAACATTGCAAATTGGCAAATCTTCCACGGAGAATCATGTTCCAAGCCTTTGCAAGCTGCTGACGCAAGTCTTCAGCTTCCATCCTCGCCGCCTGCTCACCGATACATTCATTGCAAAAAGGGCTGGCCGGGCTGGCCTAGCAAGGAAAGGCTGTATTCACCGCCTATCAACCCTATCAATCCTATACACCGGCCCCCTCCTTGTGTACTCGAATCTGCTGAACTTGCAAGCGCACGGTCCGTTCAAGTCTTGAGCGTCCAGGTTCCATTCAGGCCTTCCTTTGCGTTTCGGCGTTTCAACTCTGGTGTCAAGTTCGAAAACAGAGTGGAAATTTTCCAAAGGAATGGGCACACTTCAAGCCGTTGGCTCGAGACCTTGTACTATTGGCGTTGATTCTTCTCACGCCACATGTTCCACTATGTTCTGCTGGGATGCTTATTTCCAGGATGAACAACTGAAGCTTAAACCCAGCCATTGCCGTCAACTGTTCGTGACAGTTGATGACCCTGATTGAGCAAATGCTTCTCCCCAACAGCAAGGGCAACCCCCAAATTTATTCTTAGGGGCTTCCCAATGGCAAGGAGCAAATGACTGACGGCCAAACACAACATGTTCAAATACACTAGGCTACAATACCACCACGCACCTCGAGCTTCGATACTTCACAGGATTTTGTCCTGAGCGGTACAAAGCACAGAAACAGTGACAAAATCTTGGAACTTGGCGGGGTCATAGTGATGCGATGCTGTTGCAAACCTGGCTCAAACCATGGGACACCGATAGTTTCGACCCTTTTTCTCCCACACTTCTGAGAGCTGGTCATTTTTCGAAATGCAGCCTCACAGAAACACATACTCAAGAAAGCAAATCCACAAAGACAGCAGCAATCAGTAGCGAGCAAAAACCTACAGTGACTCGTGACCTAAACCAAAGCACAGTTTTTGCCTTTTCCTCTTCGAACGAAGCAATGTCCTTCAATTTGATGACAAATATAAACCAAGAACGCTCACGGGAAACAGGTTGCTACCGCCACGGTTCTGTCCTCCACCAAAGAATCCCTCTCAGCGTGCAGTTCTCGCACTTGATCGGCCAGCCTTGCTAACTATCATAACTCTATCGTAATCCAACAACTGGCTCTGGTCCCAGCACCACATTTAGTGGCAACATGTGTGTGTTAACACCTGTTTCCAAGGTTTGTGCCTGGCAAGTATGCCTACCGCAGGTTTTACTAGAAGGCTGGATGCTACTAGTAGCTTCTGGCCTTGCTACTAGGAACAAGAGGCCGCTAGAACCAAAGGCATAGCCACTAATTGAGAACGAAGAGGCAGGGATGCGAAAAAGAAAAAGAAAGAAAAAGAAGCAGGGGGATCAGGCTTCCAGTGACTAACCTGATCCAACGAAGCTGGGTCACTGGAAGGGAAGTGGTTGAGGACGCTCAACCATGTACCTGCTCTTTTGTGCAACTGTTGACAAGCTGTCCCATGAAGTGTTTTGCAGTAAGCGGCTAATGCATTTCCCAAAATTGTTCAACATCCACAAGTCCATCGACTCAGCCACCTTTCGGTTCTCACTTTTTCCGTTCATCAAGTCAAGGGGGCCCTCACTCTGAACCTAGCTCTTGCGAGCAACCATCTAAGTGTGGAAAAAACCAGGTATACACCGTGTATGGCAATAGAAAGATATTGGTATATTTTCAAACTATGAATCAAGCCAAACTCTATCCAGGCTAACCTTAACATCTTTCATCCTTCCTTATGCAGTGCCGCTTGGCCGGTGAAAAGGCTCTACAAGATCGAAACACTCGCCTCAAGTGGGGAATTGTGTCAGGGCTCTAGTGCTATGCATTAATTTTGACCCCGCTGCTGGACATCCCACTTGTGTGGTGTCATTGTCCAAACATATTCTTGTCTGGACCATTCGGTTCAGTGTGATCATGCGCTCACATCTTGAAGCACCAGCAGTGCTGGTCCAACATTGTCGCTTTCTCGATCTCCTCGGTGTGCGTTTCTTATGCAGCCATGAGCCTGATTCGTCAGATAAAGCCTCCCGTCTTCGCTTGCCCCATAGGACACCAGGTACAGTCGGGTTGGTGACCAGCTCAAACTGGATTCAGCTCTTGTGGTGTTGGGCACGTCTCTCCGGCAAATCTCTTTGACTCCTCACCTGTCAGGCCATGGTCGTCTGATGGACACGAGTTGGGTTAGTGATTCTTTCTGCTACTTCTACACCTGCCTAGGTGCTCTCACCTTCTCCAGGCAGCTGCCACGAATCTGTTGTGGATAGCGCTCGCAAGCAGCTGATGAGTTGGGAACTCTGTGTGTGTGGTCTTCAAGCTCGTACAACAGCCCTTGGCCCCTTTTGAGCTAAAGTGTGGCTATGGCAATGGCGAACGAGCGGTAAGCACTCACCTTTCGCTTCATTGCCTGTCTCTACAAACGAATGGTGTCACTGCATGGCCTTCTGTGTCAGTGAAAGTGTGCAACGTGACACTGCTTTAATAAAAGTTATTGGAAAGTGGAATGCACTACACAAAATTGCAACAAACAAAGGCAAACACAAACCTGGCATGGTTGATGCTATTGTACATCAGGTTTGTGCAACACAACCTCTCTCACTTTAACTTGCCATGAACGTCCCACTGCCAGGTCTCGAACTCCAGACGCTTCTGGCGCCGGTCCAGGTACTCAGCCTCAAGCTCGGTCCTGGCCTTGGGCATGAGCCAAAAGTGCGCTTGGTCTTCACTTGGTCTTCGCGCCGTTCCACACAAATCTGCATCAAACAAAAGAACCAAACAAAAACACGATGTCTTCATATGTGTTGACAGGTAAAGAATTCGAAGCCTACCTGCCTGGTTGAGGACTTCTTCTTTGTCTTTCAAGGCCTGCACACACTGTCGCTGCATCGACGCATGAAACCACAGGGCTCCACTGAGAAAGGCTACAGCAACCTGCGGAACAGGGCGCACCTCTTCGCGCTGGGCAATCAGCTTTAGCTGCTGGAGGTTCTCCTGAACGATGGAACGAAGAAGCTTGAACACAGGGACTGGCACTTGATCGGTCGAAATAGAAAATGTTGCAACGACCGGCAGAGGTAGAAAGGCATTGAAATCTGAGCAACTGCAAGCAGAATATCCTAATCTAGCTGGGTCGATCTATATAGTCATATTGCGTGTTTGCTTATGGTGGCCCTTCTCCTCATGCCGCTTCAAGAACTCCTGGTGCAAAGACCCGTGAATCTAACCAGAGTAAAGTGCCTAAAGCGTAGAAGGCATGGACTAAAGCTCCAAGCTCGAACGGCTTCTGCGTGACAGGGCTAGAAGGCACTCTCCTTGTTTTGAACTTCACGTTCCTGTTCATGCCTGCGCCTGCCAGGCAGCATCTCTCTCCACAAACACGGCATGGTGCGGTAACCTTGAGGACTTGAGGATGAGGCAGCTCTGACTTGTTCTATCTCACGTCATCCCGATTCCAAGAAAACTCACAAAAATTACCGGAAACACGAGCAGAATTGAAACAATGCGCCAGGTGTACTCTCGTACATCGTCTTTCTCCTGAGCCAAAGGAAACGCAAGCAGTGGCATTAGAGAGAATCCGTTCACTCATATTTAGCAACTCGCTTGAGGTCATGAGACCCAAGAAAATCATCGGTCGTCACACTTCCCACAAAGTAAGACTCAACTGAATCGGTGTAGCTCAACCTGCCTTCAGCTCATTAATCGTCTGCTCCAAAGTAGCCTGCGCAAAATTAATGTCTCTGAAGTCACCAACATTCTCTACATCTGCAGTCACGGCCGCCTTTTCTTCCACCAGTTCTTTGAGACCTTGAAGACCACGTGTGCTAAAACGAGACCCCACTTAGGCAGGAGATATGTACATGCACAACATACATAATGTTCTTTGCATTGATTCAGCATTTACAAATTATTTGCCTTGTCCCCTTGTATTACCCTTTAAGAGGTGATGATTCGTTCAACCACCACTGCAGTCCACAGCAAAAACATGAAAACTGATCTGGTGTAGCCTTTTTCCAGTAGATTTAGTCTAGCATAGAGCTTTCAGTAGACGTAGTGGAGAAAAGAGGTTGGAAAGCATACACTGAACTATGAAGAAAGTAGGCCCTTCCAAAGGTAGGCTGAATTGAGAAGAGGAGGGCTTGAGCACGAGAGGAGTCTGTAGGCTGTGTGGCGGTGGCAGCGGTTCCTCTTCTGGTAGTTCTTGATCTTGGAGATCTGGTAGCTCTGCAATTTGTAAACTCATGCTGGATGGGAACGGGAACGCATAGAAGGCAATGCTACTATCCTCTCCTCTCAGCAAAACAGAGACTGCGCCTGTCTGCAAACCAGCGCTGGGAGTTGAGTCGGGTGGCAACCCTCATCCGTATGGTAACTCGTTAGCCCTACAGAATGATCCCCGGATGGTGCACCGGAAGATCTGTAAGTTCCGTCCAGCCTTCAACTGCTCTGGCTTTTGTGCTCGAGGTGTAAGTTGGCCTCCTTCTAAGAATAAGTTGATGTGAGTAAGTTGGTGCGAGTGAGTTGTTGATGTGAGTGAAGAAAGCGGCAGGAGCGGAGGTAGCCAAAGGAGGAAGAACACGGGAAGACAAAAAGTAAGAACCCACACTAGCATGTGGGGAAGAAACCAATGTGCGGACAACAAGTTGTTGTGGCTTCGTCCTCAAGTAGGGGTGTAGAAGAGAACGAGATAGGAGATAGCACGAGCATACTCAAAAGGATTTTTGATCACCCTTTGGCCCAAAGCACTGGGAGCACAACGTGGAGGTGATGTACGAGTGGCTTACAGTAGCTTCGGGAAGGCACTAGAAGTTCTAGGAGTGTGACGAAACACTTCTTGTTGAAGGCAATTCAAGAGACATGAGGAATGCTATCACGCTGCAAGTGGTTTCAAAAGGTTGCAATTTTTAGCTTGTTTAAAATGTCTTTGGTTTAACAATGGCAGGGCAAGATTCCCATTGACCTCGATACAAGCAAGTGAGTTTGGATGCATTGAGTAAGGGCGGGTATCAACAAATGTGAAACAGCAGCCTCTGGGGGAAGCAAAAACACAAGAGACTTTTGGCGGCCCCTCACCCAACATATACAGTGTGTAAATTATATGTATATACATATACATATACATACATATATATATATATACATACAGTATACACATTTAGTTTCTTCGTCTCTTTTCCACCAACTTCCTTCTAGAAGTCAGTTTCGACCTCGCTTCGTCGAAACAGAGTAGGTAAAGCGACTTGATCGCCCTTCCTGCCACATCTTTTTGAGCTTTTGTGAAGCATACATATACATATATATATACACATTACTATCTATAGAGTCTATCGCGCATACTATGTGTATATTACATTATATTATACTATGCTATACTATATTACAGTGTAATACAGTGCATATATATATATATGTGTATTTGTACAAATACAGGTAGATTGCTGTGCGCCTGCCGTCTTATAATCCTTTCTCAACCAAATGCCGATGGCCCCCGTTGAGTTATTCTTCATCTCAATATGCTGCTCGTCTCCTCCTTTCTTTGTCACGTTTCCTTGTCTCCGCTTCCTTAATTCTGCAACCCCATCTCATCCTACCTCATCTCACTACGCCTTCATATCTACTATTTAATCAGTGGCATTGGCAGCTGCAACTTGGCTTTCATGTTCCCACTTCCAGGCAAATGTTCAGGGTAAGAGTCTCGTCTCAACAGTTCAGCCTTGGAGGTGTGCAAAACTTGTGACACGACGCTCTTGCCGTCAAGCCGCGCTTTGCCTCTTGAGACGCAGACTGCGGTGGCATTGAAGATTCTGCGAGAGCACTCACAAGCCGAGGTGCAGCGACTGGGGCAAAGGCTTGCAGGGCTGATGTGTTACTCAGTCTTGTCTACAAGTTCAATTGATTGAAATGTGTATATATATATAATAAATATATGTTGAACTGCGGTAGTTGTGTCTCTAGTCTCTTGTCATGAAATCACTGGGTCTCTCAGCTGAGAAACACCAATGGTTTGAGGTGGCCAACATGTGGTTGTTTACATAGTTCATAGCAAAGTGCCCTTCAGTCTAGATGGGCTCTGTTGTGACTGTGTGACTCTGTCTTTGACTTGTGGCCTTGAGATGTTCAGTTCTGTATGACTGTATGACAGATCTGAGTCTTAAAAGATCCAACCTTAATCTGTTGCTTCCTGGCTGTCAAACACCTTCTTAGGTGGTCCAAGTCGAGGTGGCTGCGCAAAATAGCATAGGGCAGCGACTGTTTGCAAAGGACTCAATTCATTTGCATGGTGGATTGAAAACCTGCACCGTGTTACAAGTCCGTCGGTCGCCAGGGCGACCAAGCAGGTTAAACTGCCAAAGACCACACACCCTTCTGATTCCACTCAAAATAGGTATTTGGCTTACAATCAATCTGAGCAATACAATGTCAAGAGTACAGGCAATCTTCACATAGGAGCACCGGATTGACAGTTTTGCAGGGTGCCCAGGACAAACAGGAAGCCACTTGTGGAGATGAAACGGGAGCGGGAAGCGGGAAGTCCACTGACGGACATAGAGCTTCTTGCGAGCAAACTGAGTGATAGCTGAGTCTTCTCGGGTCCTGGAAGGCGCAACTTCTAGAGGCAACGTTTGGAAGATGCTGAAGCTTGTGCAAAGGTGGTCAAACTGGCAGTTTAGTTTCCTGCTACAGAATGTCTCCTGCTCCAGGTCAAAGCTGCGACCAAGGCCAGGGCAGCTGGCCAAGCATTGCTCCTGAATTGTTCAGTGTCGCATTCACGAAGCTCAGGGCCGCCCCACAGCTCTAGACACACAATGTATCTGTGCTGGTTTAGCGCGGTGTTGTTCGGGCTCCGGGGTTCCCCAGAGGCGCTTCCGCGATAAAAACGGTAAACATCGATTCTGTTCAACGTTTTTCCCGGGGTTGCCCCCTTTTTCATCACACGCGCAGTTACCGTGTTCTACGGGTCAGTGTCTTTTTTTGTACTAAAGGCACGGTTAAATCTGTAAAAGAACAAGTTGTTTTTACCACTTTGCACTGGTCTCTCGGCAAATGTTGTTTTACAAAATGACCGAGAAAAAAAATACTTAAAAACATGTTTTGCACGGAACTTTTATTGTTGAGGGGTTGGTTTTTGTACTGTTCGAAGGCGCGGCTCACTGCGAGCAAATCGGTCTGCTTGACAGGACATCCTGAGCACCACACTGGTCAAAGGTCGAAGTTTAAGATCCGTAGAGATCATGCGTTTCTTTTCCGCAGTGTTACCGAGAGGCGCGCTAAACACAGTAAAAAATCAACAAAAATAATATTGGATGTACCGTTTTTTCCCGGGTCTGTTGACCAAGTTATTGTACCAAAGGTGCAGTAAAACTGTAAAAACTGAAATGTGTGTGTGTGTTTACCGTTTTTGCGGGTCTGTTGGCCACATTACTTCACCAAAGGCACAGTAAAACGGTAAAATCAAAAATGTGTTTTACCATGTTCTTTCAGGGCGAGCGGGCACCCCTTAACCAAACAAGAAGCGCGAACCGGCTTTGTGTTCACCAGAACAAGGTGTTCCCACATGCGTGAGAGCTAGCATCGCTCATAGTCATAGAGTTCAAGTTTCAAAGTATCTGCATTCATCACTTGAGGCCAGGGGGAGGAGGTCGAAAGCTAGCCGAATCGCACCGGATGTACTAGTTACATAGTCGGCAAAGCATGTAGTGATTACATGTTTTGGGAGAAAGGTTGCTACGCACACACTTTGCGCTAAAGAATGTAAATGTGACATCGCCGACTGGGAAGGGTACATTGGAACAACACGGGTGCACTCGTTGGCAGGCACGAAGATGCGTGATCGGCAAATCTGGGGGGTAAATTTACCCCCCGCTTTGGTATGCCTTGAGTCGGAAAGAGGGGTAAGCATTTCTGACATCACACGGACTGTACATACACTAGGGCGTCCGTAGTGTAGGAGAAGCACGGGTAAAAGGTATATGGAATAGAGCGTCTTGAGGAAATAGCCGGCTTGTGGTTATTGCAATTCTGGGGGGTAAATTTACCCCCCGCTTATGTATGCCTTGTGCCGGAAAGAGGGGTAAGCATTTTTTGGCATCACAAGGACTGTGCATACACTAGGGCGTCCGTAGTGTAGGATAAGCACTGGTAAAAGGTATAAGGAGTAGAGCGTCTTGAGGAAATAGCCGGGGGTAAATTTACCCCCGCTTATGCACGCATTAGGCTAGAAATAGGGTAAAGAACTTGTAGCAGTGAAGTACAAGGCCTATGCAGCAAGCAGCAGCCAGCAGCAGCAGCAGCAGCCGCCGCAGCCAGCAGGCAGCAGCCAGCAGCCAGCAGCAACCACCAACCAGCAGCCAGCCAGCAGCACCACGCAGCAGCAGCGCAGCACCAAGCAGCACCACCACCAGCAGCAAGCAGCAAGCAGCAAGCAGCAGCAGCAGCGGCGTCGTCAGCAACAGCAGCAGCGGCGCCAAGCCACAACAAGTAGCAAAGCAGCAGCTACAAAAGCGCAGCAAACAGCAGCAGCAAGCAGCAGCAGCAGCAAGCTGCAGAGCGGCAGCAGCAGCACCGTGTACACCAAGCCACCGTTTACACCCAACCAACCACGTTCACACGTTCAACCAACCCCCGCTACACGGCGCAGCTGGGAGTCGAACCGTGGGGGGGGGGAGGGGGGGGTTAGCGTGATATATCAAGCTTTAAGGCACACAGCTCATCCCAGTACCAATTGCTAAAGCAAAGAAGAACTCAGCTAGCACGCTAGCTTTCGTGATCAAGCTTTAAGGCACGCAGCTCATTCCACTTCCAATTGCTAAAGCAAAGAACAACTCAGCCAGCATGCTAGCTTTCGTGATTACCTACCGCTTTTGTATGCCTTGGGTAGGAAAGAGGGGTGAGCATTTCTGACATCACACGGACTGTACATACACTAGGGCGTCCGTAGTGTAGGATAAACACTGGTAAAAGGTATAAGGAATAGAGTGTCTTGGGGCAATAGCCGGCTTATGGTTATGGCAAATTTGGGGGGTAAATTTACCCCCCGCTTTCGTATGCCTTGGGTCGGAGAGAGGGGTCAGCATTTCTTGCACCACAAGGACTGTACATACATTAGAGCGTCCATAGTGTAGGATAAGCACTGGTAAAAGGTATAAGGAATAGAGTGTCTTCAAGGAATAGCCGGTAGCAAATTTGGTGGGTATGGATACAATCAACAGTTTTGCCAAACCACACATGTCCAAGACAGTAAATTCAAACACTTTACTCTCAGGTATTGAAGATTCATCAACTGACGAGGCGCAGCCAAAATGTTATGTGATGCGTCCACAAGAAGAAGACGAGCAAATGACCATGCTTCCGACGAAGCTGGCCATGCTTCCGACAAAGCTCGTCAATGAATCCTAAATACAAACACTAAGAGTGTCTAGATGAAATAGCTGGTTTACTGTTATGGTAAATCTGGAGGGTGCATTTACCCACCGCTTTTGTATGCCTTGGGTCGGAAAGAGGGGTGAGCATTTCTGACTTCAGACGGACTGTACATACACTAGGGCGTCCGTAGTGTAGGATAAACACTTGTAAAAGGTATAAGGAATAGAGTGTCTTGGGGCAATAGCCGGTAGCAAATCTGGCGGGTATGGATACAATCAACAGTTTTGCCAAACCACACACGTCGAAGACAGTAAATTCAAACACTTTGCTCTCAGGTAATGAAGATTCATCAACTGACGAGGCGCAGCCGAAATGTTATGTGATGCATCCACAAGAAAAAACGAGCAAATGATCATGCTTCCGACGAAGCTGACCATGCTTCCGACAAAGCTCCTCAATGAATCCTAAATACAAACACTAAATCAGTGGATGTTTTGCAAAAACGCATGCAAAATCCCATGAGTGTCATCTTGATTCTCCAATAATTACGTATGCTTCCGCTACCCAGGATCATCCAAAATTCAAGTGCATGATGTCTTTGACATCCTGGTTTTGAATGCACACCCCAAAATCAAAAATACAAAACAAAACACCAACAATTTCCAAGATGTAACAACACCTCCACTAATGCCAAAACGCCTGCGGGGGGGGGGTCCTTCGCGTGAGTTATTAACCCAGAGGGGGGGGGGGGGGCCCCCCCCCCCCCCCCTTAGTGTGATATATCAAGCTTTAAGGCGCGCAGCTCATTCCACTACCAATTGCTAAAGCAAAGAAGAACTCAGCTAGCATGCTAGCTTTCGTGACTTGAGAAGGGGGGGGACGAAAGCCAGCCCTTCAAGCAGACCGCAAACATACTTGTTCAACGTGTTCTTTACAGCTGCTTGCGGGGACCTAGCTAGATCCCAGAAAATACAATTTCTGCTGGTGCCCTTTTTTCTTCCCCAAAGCCGTGATAAAACGACCACACATCTGCGAACAGACCGCCAAACATAGTCGTTCAACGTGTTTTTTACAACTACTTGGGGGACCTAGCTAGGTCCCAAAACAAAGCACTCCTTTCCTGGTGCCTTTTTGTCTTCCCCCAAAATTGCGACAAAACGATCAAACGGGGCACCACCACTGGTCACTGGACCACGCATGCCCTTTGAACAGACTGCAGGGCTGGTCTCTTAACGTATTTTCTTTACACCTACTTGGGGGGACCTAGCCAGATCCCAGCAGCTAGCACTCCTTTGCTGGCGCCCCCTTTGCTTTCCCAAAACATCCCAAAACCATAACCAAAAAGGGCACCACCACCGGACCACACGTGCCCTTCAAGAGACAGCAAACATAGTTTTTCAACATATTTTCTTTACAGCTACTTGGGGAGAGCTAGCTAAATTGCAGAACACAGCACTCCTTTGCTGGTGCCCGTTTTGTTTCCCCGAGGCCAGGCAGTTTGACCTTGGGTGCTGCAAAATGAAGAGAAATAGGTCAAAGCACAGGATGAGTGGATTGAGCGATCGATCATTCACCGAGGTTCTCCCGGACTACTGTGGGTTACCACAGTCTAAGAAGTCATGTTGGTGCCCCCCTGCCCTTTTTTAGCGTGAAAAGGGTCCAAAGCCGAGAAACAAGGGCACCCCCCTAGAAAGGAGTTGGAAGTGGGACTCTCCGTTTGTACAAGAGCGTGGGATTCCACGAAGCAGAATGTGGGCTGTCCCCGATCCATCCACATTCCCCAACTCATCCTTCTTCCTTTTTTCTGTTTGGTCTGTCCTGACCAGTAACAGTGGCTGAGGGTTAGTAAAGGCCTTGTGGTAGGGCATATAGACTGTATCACATCGAGCCCCAATCTGAAAGTTTGCGCGTCGCTGCCTTCGGCTTGCCCGTGGCTAACCATAAACACAAGCCAATCACGGTCCCAGCGCGAATGCTCAGACTCAGCCCCTTTCGTTGAATCCGTCAGTCTTGACATGCTTCGGCCCACCATCTCCGTAGACTCTACGGCAGGTCTTTACAGCGGACACACGCCTGCTTGCAGGTTGCTAACTTTACAGCTGACCCCTCCATATTTGCTGAGGAAGAAGCGTGCACACAACTAGACCAACTGCCCACTTTGTGATGCTAGTAATGCACTACAGTAACCTATTTGGCATCACTGGCATCACCAAAGCCCGTATAAACATGCTCGTTGACTAACTTTTGCCCACTGCTCTTTTTTGTTCTCCTCCACCAACCAGGCTCTGGGTTCTCCACCACTCAGCCTAGCCTATTGGCTGGCTTTTTTGAATGACTATCATCACATCATAGAGTCATGTAGCTGCAGCATCTGCAAGATCCATGGAACCATGGGTTTTTCATCATCCTTGTTGCTGCTGTTGACTTTGGAGTCGGACTTGCTCTCACTGGCCAGTGTCCCTGCAAGTTTGACTTGATTGATGAAGGTACTGAGAGCAAACACTAGGATGAAAAACTGCCATGACCGTGCCTCAAGACCTGCATTGCGCAGGGAAGCAGAAGTGACAGGGCCTGGCAAGGAAATCATTCGGAACATGATAAGTCTGCATGTGCAATGTGAAGTGCTCTGGCTACTTACATTGGCGGTCCGAAAATCGTTTGCAAGATTTTTGATATCGACCCTTAGATGCCTTAGCAAAGAAGGGAGAATCGGTTTGAGACCCAGCCAACTTAGTTGTGGGTGGATTGCCTTCGACAAAAAGAAATAGGTCTTAGGTCGCTCCTTTGGAGCTTCCGAAGAGAATAGCTCGAAACAAACATGAGAAAGAGAATAGCTCCGAAGTGCCAAAGCGCTATTCATCCTCTGCGCCCTTGGCTCGAGCTACAACCAGTCGAGGTGGGGGGCCAGGAGCTGGAACCACTGAGCTCATGCAGAATTGCTCCCTCACTGCTCGACGATAAAGCCACAACGCAGAAACGTAGAATGTGAAAACCCCGATGCTTAGCAGTGCCACTAAGACAGCGGTCAATGTGGAGTCCACCAATTCGCATTGCCGGACCTCAATGAAGCGAGGTGTAAGCCGTCAGTCTGAGCAAGGTCCCTTATTTATGTTCTTTTCTTGTAGGGCAAAGCCTGCACTAAGAAGACAAGCAACGTGAAGCCGGCATATGACGATCAGCCACATGATTAGGAGCATGCCCCAAAGATTGAATTTGTTCATCAGCTTCTGCAAATCTTTCTTGCCAATGGCATCCAAATAAAATGAGATAGCATGGCCCGCTAGGTTCAAGAACATGAAGGTCTTGCTCACCAAAAAGTACTCCTGCCGGAAACGACTGGAAGTGCAGCAGGAGAGGTTCAAATTAAGTAAGGCATGGTAAGGCATGGAAAGGCTGGATCAAGGTTCTCAAGGTTGGCCAAAAGGAGGCATCTCCCATGTTCTTTTTGTGAAAGCTGTAGGCCCCCACTCCTCCATCCAGCTTATGCTTCCAGATGTAGGCAGAGTTGCAACCACAGAATTTCGCAAGTTCGTCAATGAAACCAATGCAAGCATGGTTGTCGCCACTCTAGGCATTGACATTTTCACATCCAGCGCGAATGCCAAGAAGCCCATCCTCAGCTGCCAGCATCGGCAATAGCAGGTAATACTTGGTACAAACTAAGGCAACTAAGGGGACGTAAGAAGGCGAAAGTGCATGTTGTGGAAGTCTATCTATATAAAGTAAACCGTGTGGCGTTGTCACCCACAATTTTGTGTTGCCAAGATTCATTGTAAAAATCAACGAAGGCCACATGTAGGAATTGAAAATAGCTTCCGACTGCCTGCAATCTGAAGAGCATGTGTCATATGCACCCTTGGGAGAAGACTAGACAAGTCATGACTTGGAACTATCAATGCTGGACCAGCCGGACAGGTCTCTTGAACCCTTGGTCAGAAAAAGGTAGAACCTGGAGCCACCAATGGTCCAGCGGCAGAGAGAACAATTAACTCCTGGTGGACCTATGGCACAAACTGGTGATCAATATAATGTAATATAGTATAAGTCTAAGTTTAGGGCCAATGGCCAAATAGTTGAGACACATTTGATGCCTGTCAATCGTGTGACCAATCGTTTGTTCGCCCAGACTTTCATTTCTAGCTTTCTTGACTCAAGAGTACCCAACGGCCCTGCATTGCCTGATTCCATCCATCAAGCAAGTGATGAGCGCTTCATCGTTTTGCTCACAAGTAAAGTTCCCCCATTCGAAGCCGACGTAGGTTCCTTTTGCCTAACCACAAATTCATGAACATGTCTTGTCAGCTTGAGGCAAGTACGTCCTCTAAAGGACATTTTGATCTTACTCTCACTTTTCTCCCTCCTCATGCACAAGTTCAATCATCTCACTCCGTTTGTTTGGTAATGTTCGTGCGAACCCAAAAGGGACCAGCTGTCTTCACCTTCTAGTGGACACACCAAAGCATATCCAGCACGCAACTTTGCCATTGGCCTATTGATATCGAATGATCAAAGATCATAAAGACATTAACTCCTCAAAATGGGTGTGTATTATATCTTTATATACAGGCCCGCCCCCCTGGTGACTACCCGTGACTGAGTTAGCAAATGTGGTTGCGCGTTGAAAAGCCTGACATATGCCTCTTCCTCTACCCATATCTGCTGGGTTGGTTGCCAGCATGTTTTTTAATATTGTTTATTTGCTACTGCTCCAGTCCGAAGAAAAACTAAGCAAAAATTGTTACAGCAAGGGGCGATCTGAATAAAAGAAGGGGAACTAGCTAGCACTTGCGCAAACCACATATTCAAGAAACGGAGTGCTTTTCTAAAGACGATAGGATCTGCGTCTGTATCGGACCTAACCCTTTTTGCCTTGAGTGATGCTTGCTTTTGCTTGATTCCAGTACTCTTCAAGAACATATTTGAAACAAAAAGAGTTGAGCATAAAAGCAAAAAATCCGGACGCAAAGAAAAACCGATTGGGACTATATAGGGAGAGCTGGTTGAGGAAAAGGAAGAGCAAAACAATTGCATCGCCAGCGAAAGGGCCGATCAAGGAGCAGCATCAACCTAATACTATAGCCAAGAAGAAAACAGCCACTGTCCATGGTCTAAGTGGGAAAGCAACCAAGCAAATAGCACTAGGTATCAAGAAGTTTTATGGTGTGGTGTGTGGGTATGTGGGTATGTATATGTATATGTATATGTATATGTAATTACAGTGTGTCATATATATATATAATTGTGTGTGTGTGTGTTGATTGTGTGCCTTCAACTCTGTCATGCATCCTGTCGGAGAAGCTTATCTATCACTCACCGCCTCAAAAGTCAGGCGGCTTAGTTTGGGTGAGCCCGGGAACGGACCATGGAAGCGGAGTGGCCTTGCTACTAGGAGCAAGCAGCTACTAGGGGCTCCTGGCCTTGCTACTAGT